AACTTTAGCCTCCATTTTTCTCCTCTTTCTTTTCTCGATCTTGTATTGAGTAATCTCACAGCGATAACTTTTTATATGATTACACACCTTTGAATTCTCTCCTTTTAAAATAAAAAAAAAAATTAGTTGAATTTTATAATTGTTCGACACCAAGCTTCTCTAGAAGAAGTTTTACTCCTAATAAATAATTAAGAGTGTAGTTCTACAGGACCGATTACAACAATAATATTCGAATTTCGAGCAAAGTTTACAATACAAGTTCAGGTACATATTAATATTAGAAGTAAATTATTCTACAAATTCAGCTTGTACCTTAATATAATGTTGAACAGCAAACCTTTACTTGTGATATAATTAATTAGAGAAAATTTAGTACAACATCGTATTCAAAATCCATGTTGTTACAATATATATGAACAAATAATTGTTACAACCTTCCATTTGGAATACAAGTCAACTTTTTTCGGTTTGATTCATACGTCAATTAAGCTGTCTGGAAGAGGAAGACTTGTATATATAATATAAGATGCTTTCTAGTGGCCGGTTGTCAAGTTGCACTTTTTTTTCAATTTTATACACTAATAATTCTTGTGTATATCAGACTCAACTACTTGTTGATATAATGGCTTTCGATGTTACTTAACGGGCAAAAGAAAAAAAAAAAAAAGTTGACCGATCCAAATTAATGGTATATATATATATATAAATATGTGTGTATGTGTGTTTATATATATCACAATTTCTTGAATATAAGTATACCTCTCGTAATTAAGAAAACTATAATTTGAATGCCTACAAATTTTACTCTAATTAGGAGTTTCCTGAACCTTTTAAGTTTAACTCTCTCTCTCTCTCTCTCTCTCTCTCTCTCTCTCTCTCTTTGTTTTGCTAAATAATAAACGCGAAAACTTGATCAGGTTAACCAATTTTTTGTACTTACATAGTTTTTCATATGTCTGCATCATTATAATTGAAGATTAGATGTACAAGTTGACCCACCAAGACAAATAATATTTACTCTACAGCTCCCCAGGCTTTTTTTTTTTTTTTTAAGAGCCTTAGGAACAAAATTTGACCAAACATTAGAAAAAAAAGGAAAACAGAAAACAAAAAACAAAGAAGAAACACTTTTTAGTTTGCTTTTTTTTGTTTTTTTAATAATAAAATGAGATCATTAATGTCATTTTTGTCTCTATTTTCTTCATCTGTAGTGGGAATCTAGTGACCATAAGCACAACAAAAAGGACTAGACCTAATTCTATAACTTAAAAAATTGACTGTTTCAGTCACCATGATAAACCCAAAACAACACAATCCATTGGTCAGATAGTGATCTCAAAATATGGTTCTAACCTATCGAATTTTAAATCAATTATAAGATTAGAATAAAGATATTATAACCATCACACCACTTGATTAGTGGTGTCAAGAAACAATGTCAATTCAGTGGCAACATTTTTCTTGAATAGACGTTGAACTTATCGATATTTGGCAATTTGAAACCAAAACTTTAATTTGGTAAATGGGACCTTAAATTAAAATTTTATTACAATTGTGATCTAATAGCTCAATTATTGGAAGGAAATGCTCAGATTTTTATTCCAATGAACTCCAAAAAGTTTTCTGTTTGGCAGATTGGTCTTGTTTTTTTTTTTTTTTTTTTATTTCTTAAACATGATTTTGGATTCCTATAACCGTGTTCATTATTTGACGTTCATTATTGGACAAAAATTGCACGTTCATTATTGGACAAAAATTGCAACAAATTTTGAAAAGGATGCTAATTGTCGTACATTAATAGCAAACTTTTCAAATGGATGATTATTTTCTCCCTTTCAAAAGGCTATATTTTCACTGGAGTTTGAAGATCAACTTCTGGAAAAGGTTCCTAGTTACATATTAGAAATTTAAAAATGGCTAAACTTACTCTTAAAGTGTATAGATTTTGACAAATATCTCTTAAAATTGTAGGAGTCTTGATTTTTACCCCTTACTATTGATTACTACCATTTTAATCAAATAACTATGTTAACAAAAAGGTACTAATCAATAGTAAAGTGTAAAAATCCAGACTCATACGCTTTGAAGGGTAAATTAAGTAATTTTCTCTAACTTTAAAAAGAATATCAATTATTAAGAGTAAGTCCTAAAGTCCAGATTCATGCACTATAAGAGATATTTGTCTCATTTCTTTATTTAAAAATAAGAAAACTGCAACAACCTGACAAAGAACTTAGGTAACTTTGAAGCCTATAGTAACTTGATTTAAGAGAAAGAGAAAAGTACTTGGTTTGTCATGATTTTATGCAAGGTTATTAGTTATGTCATTTTAAATAATTAGATGTAATTGTGGCCTTTTGTTTTATATTTATTAATTAATTGACAATGATTATTTTTTAATGGAGTGTCATAAATAATATATTCTACCATCTTGAGTAGTATTAATTTCTAGCTCAAAAAAAATGGAGAATTTACTTTTAAGAGTGCATGTGTCTGGACTTTTACCCTTTATTCTTGATAAATACCCTGTTGTTAGTGTAATTATTTGACTAAAAAGGTTATAAATTAAAAGTAAATGGTAAAAATCTTGACTCGTGTACTTTCAAGAGGTATCGCTTATGGCTTTTTCCCTTTATTTAAATTGGGCCAAATTATAGTCTATCAAGCCAACGACGAGTTCTTTTGAAATACGACATGTCGTTTACCTTGGTAACTAATCGTGTAACCTGCCTAGTAACTTGAAAATAAACGCATAATTTGCATGGAGGTATCTTGAGCACTGTTCAGATTTCAGAAGAGTTTTTCCCTTCTAATAGAGCTTTTTGTAAAAGCCACATATTTATTTGGCAAAGTTTTTACTTATTACTGTAGTATTTAGTACTATTTAAAGAGCTTTACATGACAAAAGTATATTTCAATTTATTAATAAGCAATAAGAATACTAGGAGGTTTATAAAATGTCAAGTACAAGCTTTAAATATTTCTTATAATTTTTTTCCTCCTGCAAGCCAAATTTGTAGCTTTGACTAGAAGATTTTAAACACTATCAAGGATTATCTTTAATCCGTTATTCCGTTTGAAAAAAGAAAAAAAAATCAAAAGCTAGTTATGGGCGTGTATGGATAATCCTCTATATATAAAAAGTGCATATGCAAGCTACTATTCAACTTTTGTAGTCTAAAACGCACCGTTTGGTGCTTGCTTTAAATAATAAAAAAAAAAAATTTGTTTTGCTTTGTTTTCATTTTTTTTCTCTTTGTTTTCATTTTCTTTTTTGTGCTTATTTCCCCTTTTTAACTCAATTTCTTTCTTTTGTTTTCCATACCCTATTAATTATAAATCTCAAATCCTATCCTAAATCCTAATCCGAAATCTTAAATCCCAAATATACAAAAGAGTGAACGTGTAGCTATTGTTCATTAAATATAATAGTAAAAAACGTTGAAACGTTGAGTTTTAAGCATTTTAACTTTTTTTTTTCGGTTCATTTTTTAGTTTCAATTCTTTTTTGTTTTTGTTGTTTTACACTTTATGTTCATCATAGTAGTCCAAAACGGTGAGTTAGTTTCAACTTTCATTTTCTTTTTTTTCTTATCTAATAATTTATGTTTATTATAGTAGTCCAAAAATGTGAGTTTTAGGTGATTTGTTTTTTTCTTTTCTTTTCTTTTTAAGCTTCAACTCCTTTATTTATGCTTTGTTTGTTATTTTATAATTTGAAATGTTTCATTGTTTTCCTATGATTAAATGTACCATTAAACTACTATCAACATGCACTCTTTTTTCTCTCTAAAAGTTAGGTGTGAGGGATTCAAACTCTATATCATATGACAGAGTCAGGTTTAAAATTACTGTTAAGATATGTTTGCTACCACTTAATATATACTCTTTTCTCTTTTTGAGTTCTTAATTAAAATTTTTCTTCTATTTTTTTTTTATATTATTGCTCATATTCTACGCTATAAAAACTTTAATGATAACCCAATACGTGCGTTGCACGTAACTAAACTAGTTTTATATAGGCTTAACCCTCCATTCAAATTATACGATAACAATTTTATTTGGCGTGGCTTTTACTTTTTTTTTTTTTTTTTTTTTTTGAAATACCAACCTTTTACTTAATACTTTTAAGTAGTAGAAAAAAATAAAAAAGAAGTAAATACTATGGGTTTTTTTATCACTATTTCAAATCATATTTTTAAATCTTAACAGAAAAAAAAATGACATTTAAATATACTACTAATAAAAAAATATGAATAAAGTTTGTAAGATCTTGTGAAAGTTCCAATACAACTTTTATGTTCCTTTTTGAAGAGCATTATGAGAAGCTACCTCACGTGGCATATCGAGTGAACATTTTTCCTGAAACGGCATTATGAAAAATCACACTTCTAGAATGGCTTCTAAAACATAATCTGATCGAAAAAAAAAAAGAGAAGGAAAAAAAGACATTTGAATTTCATTGTAGTTAGAATAATGAACCTAAACACGTATAGTTCTTACAAAAAGTTTTTATTTAGGAGAATGAAATAAATAATAAACTTATAGTAAATAATTGAAAAAAATAGCATATTTTAAAATTATTTGAAGTTAATAACAGTAAATTAAAAATTTACATGTCTTTTTACTACTATTTATTTTAAATATTTTAAAATTTACTGTGTACTTACTTTCGTTTCAAAAGTTTATTATTTACCACAATTTGTGTTTTTATTTTTGTAAAAGCCATGAGAAACGGGTCTGAATTCTAACAAAGACGACGTATGCTGCAACCGAGGAAATTGACATCTTTTTGCGTGTATACGACATCTTCCATGAACCTAACAACTTGTCGTTCATTAACATGTCGTAGTACATTTAAACGACATGACGTACTAACCATACTTAACACGATAAATCGTATAGCAGAAGAACGAAACCGTCAGTCTAAAACCACATATTGTATAATTAAAGGAACCATCATCACTACCATCGAACACACATCAAAAGTAAATTGCCACTTGTACGTCCGCATTATGAACGGACCAGATTAAATCACGGGATCCACAACAGTCCACCTGAACCTCTTTCTGGTAGAAGTGGAAGCAGAGTGAGAAAAGATCCCGAGATAGCCTACCAGTGATTTGATTGAACGTACTGAGAAGAAGAAGACGAAGAAGAAGAAGCATCAGGATTCAACCGTAAATAACAGAAACAATTCCAACCGTTGGATCGACGAGAAGACTTCGAGCCGCCGTCCGATCTGGAGGTGAATTCCCGAGAGCCAGATGACGGATACGAGTCTGGAGTTGCAGGAATCGGGATGGGAGGAGCTGAGGAGGGAGGCGAGGAAGATCGAAGGCGATCTCGACGTCAAGCTCTCTTCCTACGCCAAGCTCGGTGCTAGGTTTACCCAAGGAGGTTCGTATTTCTCTCTCTCTCTCTCTGTCCTCGATTTCTCTGTTTTCTTCGTTTACTGCATTTTCGCTCCCAAAAGTGTAGAGCTCTTGAATTCGATGAATTCTAGTTTTGGATATGAAAATTTGAATCTTGAGAGTGAATCTGTGAGAATTGGAGTGACCTCATTAAAGAGAGACAACTTTTGTGGTTGGAGGAGATTTGGATTGACGGTTGAGAAATTATATATGAGAAACGACCAAATTGTAGTAACTTGATTTGCATTTTCGCTGCCAAAACTGTAGAGTTCTTGAATTTGGCGAATGGCGAGGAATTTGATGAATTATATTTTCGAATGTGAGGATTTGAATCTTGAGCATGAACCTGTGAGAATCGAAGTGACATAATTGGAGAAAGAGATAAATTTTCTGGTTGGATGAGATTTGGATGAAAAACGATGGAATTGGGGTGATTTGATTTGCATTGTGTTAATTTTGAGATTAGTTTCATGTTTTCATGGTTTTCTTGAGATAAAATTTTGCTTGTTTTGGGAGAAATGCATAGTAGATCGATGAGATTGTTTGGATTTTTGTGATAAGAAAGGTTTTCGAATCAGGTTATGTGGATACTGGATCACCAACTGTTGGGTCAAGCAGATCTTGGAAATCCATGGAAATGGAAATCCAATCGTTGCTTGAGAAGCTTTTGGATATAAACGATTCAATGAGTCGATGTGCTGCTTCTGCTACACCAGCTACTTCTGTCACTCAGAAACTGGCAAGGCATAGAGACATACTTCACGAATTTACCCAGGTTTCATTTTTCTTCAATTCTAGCACTGCATATTCCACCAAAGAAAGAACTATATCATAAGTGGAATTTTAATTGTCGATGGTTCCCTTATTATTTTGCATCAAGTAGAGAGTCTATACATGAGATTTCATTTCATGTATACTTTAACTTTTATTAACTTTTAGAGCATTATGACAATTAATTTCTAGTTGTTGAGTATTATTCTACTTCTTGCTTGGCTTTTCAGACAAATTTACTCCTACTTTTCTTTCCCTGACTGCGGCATTAGTCTTTTCCCATGTTTGTTAACCAGTCCTGTTATTATACAAATGAATACCTAATTGTTTCTTAGATCATTACTTCTAGTGTGCAAGTAACTCTGTTCCAAGATCTGATATTTGATTGTAAATCAATCTTATTTGGCTTTGAATTGGATGAGATATTTAAAGTAGTGTTTTAAACCTGTGAACGGAGTTGTTGCAGGCCATATTGGGAAACAAATTGTGGGAATTGGGAATCATGTTTTTAGCTTGAAGAAACTTACTCCAAAAGGAAAAAGAAAAAAGGAAAAAAGAGAGTTAAATTTCATAATTTCGGGCAATTAATTAAAGTTAGATATTTCTCAATTTTAAAAATTTTCTAGAAATCCAAATTTAATATTCGTTTAATTCTTGGATCAAAATTAGTTAGTTTACTGCTTTCATTTTTCTTTGTTTATAATATTTGGAATTTTTGAGTTGCCTAATTTTTTTTTTTGTAGTTTTTCGTTTATGTCTAGGACAATTTAGCCTATAAATATGTTAGTCCTATCATATGTAAAGAGGAGGGTGTGTTCTTTATTTACATTAGAGTATTACTCTTATATTTTCCAACTTTCTTGGTGGTATTATTGAGTAGTTGATGCCTACTTTCCTGGCATCCGTGAGTGAATCACCAGGTTAGTAGATGCCTTCTTTCTTGGTATTCATGAGCGAATTGCCAGGTTAGTAGATGCTTACCTTCCCTTCACTAGGTTAGTAGATGCCTACTTTCCTGGCATTCGCGAGCGAATCGCTACGTTAGTAGATGCCCTATTGTCTAATATTCTAAGTGAATTATTGGATTTAGGAAATTGTATTAGTTTTTCCTGTTAAGTCATGCTCCTGCTACATCAGCATCGGCACTTAAAGGTACATTTAGCCGCTTCCTAGAGAAATATGCTGTTCTGAAAAGCTACCTTTCTCTAAGGGCTTAATGTGATTTAAATAGAAGGTCAAAGTGTAGCGTTGGCACCATCAAAATTGTAGTCTTGCTGAATAAATTCTTTTAATGTGAGTTGCCAAATTTTGATTATAAGTTCCCTATCTTTTTTCTTAGTAAATATTCAAGTTGACGTTGATCTGTTTATTGCTATAATCAGCACATTATCACTTCTGCATGTTGCGCATTTTTCTTCAGGAATTTAGACGAATTAAGGGAAATATAAATTCAATGAGGGAACACGCAGAGCTGTTGTGTTCAGTCAGGGATGACATCAGTGAGTACAAGGTGGGAGACCTCTGAATTGCCTTACAGCTCTATTTACATAATTGCTGTATCTCATATTTCTTAAAAATTTATCTCATTGTTTCTGGAATATAATTATTTAATATGCTTTAATGCAGGCATCTGGGAGTATGTCTCCAAGAATGCAATTACTAAGGGAGAGAGCCGCCATCCATGGAAGTATATCTCATGTAAGCTAAAATGCTGTTGGGTAGCCATTGCTTTAGGTGTGTTGTCTTTTAGCGTACAATTTTCAATATATGTTTCTATACAGAAAGAACAATGTTATAGAACACCGGTAGTGTTAATTACTAAGCACCACCCACTAATAGAAAGTAAGTCCTGCTGCGTAGGGCCCATCTTCTATTAGCCCTCCTTCTATAAATAGTAGTGCTTAGCACAGGTGGTGTCGTCAAGTATTTTTATTAGTCCACCTTCTATGAATAGTGGTGCTTACCACAGGTGGTGTCGTGAAGTATTTTCAATAACGATATAAATGTTGAGGTGTCTGAGCACAAATTCAGGAAATGGTACAATAGGACATAATACATTGGTTTTTGAGGTTTTGGGTTCATTTCTATGCAGATAGATGATGTGATTAGTCAGGCTCAAACAACAAGGGCAGTCTTGGGCTCTCAAAGGGCTTTATTTGGAGACGTTCAAGGGAAGGTGAAGCTTCTAAGTGACAAGTTTCCCATCATCCGTGGCCTACTTGGTACTTCTTCATGGATCAACTACTTAACCAACTTGGTTTCTTGACATGACGTATTACTAAAATTGTATCCAACCTTTTGCAGGTTCAATCAGAAGGCGACGATCAAGAGACACTCTTATTCTGTCTGCAGTAATTGCTGCTTGTACCCTATTTCTTATCATCTATTGGCTATCCAAATAGTTAGAAATGAGATTTATTGATAAAGAAAATTATACACAACATGGTGGTGCCTTAATGGAATTTTGCTTCTTTCTATTTGTTAGAACAAAGTCAAATTTTACTGTTTCAAAGAAGTTTGAGGTACCTGTTTGATGTGCCTTTGCCCATGAATCTATTATGTGTTTTCCATTTACAGAACTCTCTACATATTATCTTTGCTCTATTTTTCCAAAAAAAAAAAAAAAAATAGTAACTCTTCTCTGTCACTTGGAAACAGCCAACATGTTTTCCATCCGAAAATTGGTGCAAAACCAGCAGGGTCTGCCAAAATTGATTGGAGATAACAATTAACCATATAGCAAAAGTGACCCTACAATATATGAACAAAAAAAAAATAATAATAAATAAAAAAATAATAAAAATAAAAAAGCCTCTGCTTGAAAACTTAACAATAATACTAAATTCACTAAATAGAATGAGAAAATTATTTACTAGACCCTGCCTACACACTAGCACCAATATGGAGTCTTGGAAAGAGTTCAATGCTTATAGTAGGGCATAAAAGAAAGAGAGAGAAAGAAAAGGGTAAAGAGAAAAGAAAAGAAAATGATTCATGTTCAAACGATACAAAAGAACTGTGTCGTAACCCACCTGTAGGCTGCAGTGGCTGCACCCCGCAGCTACATATTGTGTGGAAGGCCTCTTTTTTTTTTTTTTTTTTTTACTTTTAAGGCTCGAAATGGAGGAGGAGAAACAGAGGCCATACACGTGGCCGTTGCTGCGGATGAGAAAACAAGAAATGGATCATACTTTTTACGTCTTTTTTTTGCTTACAAGCCCAGAGGCCACAGAGCCAGAGCTTGTGAAAAAGTGGGATCCCAATATAGCCTAGCTTACTACAGACACAAAAGCAACATTATAGCTTAATTCAGTGCGACAGTGAAGGCTGTACTTCCACGCACACTCCCACCCAACTCCTTTCTATGTTTTGAGTTTTGCCACTTGCCACTTGCCACTTGCCAGCCAATATTTTAACTTCACTGCTTTTGCCCATTAATTATCATGTTTAATGGACTTCTACCCTTTACAGATCAGAGAGAGCCTTTTTAAGAGGGATTTCTAGCACTTCCCAATATCTGTACTTGTCTTTGCTGATATATATTCATGAATGCTAATTAATACCGTCCTATATATTCAATCTTGATATTAATACAGTTGTTTTTTTTCTTTTTACTTTCCTTCCAATTTCGTTAGATATTTTAACAGCTTTTTTGCTTATCTAGAGCATCCTCAATCAAGTGTCAAATTATTGCGTGAATACAAAATTATGGTATTTAAAAGGAGGAAAAAAAAAAAGCACTCCAATGAAAGTAGTTTTATTTTGGTGCTAAATTTAACGTGTACTGTATCACCAACTGAAACACTCTCTAATTATTTTGTGATGTTTGGTAGAGGGATTCGTTCTCTGATTCGAATCATGATTCATGATTCGCTACAATTTCTTTTTTCACAAAAAATACACATAAATCGAAAATAATTTTAATCTATGAATCAAACGGGCTCTTACTATTTACATGTATTGTATGAGTCACAGTAATGGAGTTAGGATTCATTGATAGCGGGTCAAATTTTTCTTAACAAAATTATACTAACATGTATATATATGTAACAGTTTTTGTTTATATATGTAACATATGGTCGGCCAAATAAAATGTAAAAAACTACTAATTTAAGGGGGGTCAAGTCTAATTTATATACATACTTACTATATTAAAATTAAAACTACTATATTAAAAAATAAAAAAAATAAAAAAAAACTAGGGGAGCCAGGTCCCCCCTGTCCCTGTCTCCGTCATTGTGTATCACCGAGTATAATTTATATCAAAAAAATTTGAAGTTTTGTTGTTATTGGTTGATCTGTTGAAGTTTATTTACTAATTACAACATTTCTATTTTCAAATTAATTAAAAAGTAAAATTTTATTTTTATTTTTACAAGTTTTAAAATGTATGATAGATGTGTATGTCATTTGAAATAGTATTATGTATTGCAACTCAGAATAAAACAACATATGAAATATATTAACTTTGTTATGAAAATTAAGAAAATGTAAAATTAAGAAAATGTAAAAACTTTAGAGAGAGAAACTAGTGAGAGTTTCATTAATCTTGTGAAGGTATATAAAATGAAAAGATTTAGTGCCTATTTATAGAAAAAAATTTGACACTATTTACAATTACTATTTTTATAATACTTAGAGCCCGTTTGGTTGGAGGATTCGTTTTCTGATTCGAATCATGATTCATGGTTCACTACAGTATTTTCTCTAATAAAAAACACACGTAAATCAAAAATAATTTTAATTTATGAATCGAACGGGCTCTTACTATTTACAGTTACTATTTATATAGTAAAATTTTGACATGTACTGAATAGGACATCTACTTTGTTTTGATGCCGGAAAAGCCGTAATATTAGAAGGTTTTATAATGCCAAGGGACTGTTAAGTACTCACGCGATTAAATTAGCTCAGATCAGATCATGCATTCATAACAAAACTCAAAAGGAAGAGAGAGAAGCTTGGATGCATGGTCAATGCCTAGGCGGTAAATGAAAAAACATGGGAATGGATGATGATATCTAGTCATTGTCAGGTACGATCTCGGTACACTTTCTGCAAATAGTTACAACTGGTTACAATAGAATGCAAACATAAATTACAATTCTCACAGGCTCTTTTTTCTATTATTACTGACTAATAATTGGATTAAGCCCACTAATTAGTGTATATTTTGGTTTAACCTGATCCTAGTGCAACAAGAAATTGCCAATTCAATGCGTTAATTTGTTTGTTTTCTAAGAACAAAATGTTAATTTGGTTCACACAATTATCCTTGCTTTATAACTACAACATGATCCGTTCTTTTTTGTTATATCGTATTAGTAATATGGCGTTAGATGATGAAAAGATCAAGAAGAACCGTTGAAGTTTGAACCGCTTTTAGTAATCTTAGCACCCAAATTAAATAAGAAAATTTCAACCACTTTAATGTTTTATGACCATCATCTAGTAAGTGTTGCATGGCACAACCAATTTAGCGGACTTCCTCTAAACTTTATATGCGATGAAAAACATCATTTAGAACACTTGATGCACCCTAAAACAACTCACCCATTTCATATGTAAAAATATCTAGCCTAACGTATAGCATGATGCAAGTATACATGAATTTAGACATGGAAAACAATAGTACGTATACCATGGATTAAATACTCAAAGAAAAGTGTTTTCAAAGTCAATAAATATGTAGGAAAAAGAAACTAGGGCTAAAAGATCCATATATTTGAAGGAGCATTTGTCTCTTTTTCTTGAAAATTAAAAATCCTATCACCTCTAGTAGTGTCTCCCGTGCCGTCACATGCTTTATCTCCATCTATTTTTAAAGAAAAGTGTATAAAAAGGAGATTAAGTGGAACAAATTCAAAATTTAAAATAATAAGGTGGGAACTTTTAGAGTTTGGGAGGAGGCAAGGCAAAAGGAATAATCCTAATCATATAGTAGCTAGCGTTTGAGTGAAATATTTTAACTCCTCCATGTTCAATCACTTTTGATATGTCAATAGTATTCTTAACACAAAGCACCCCAGGTGTTGTATGAATGTCGCATATATATGACTAATGACAAGTCAACTTCATACTCACATTGCGTGCCTTAAGTCCCAACATGCACGTCGTGGTTTCTTTGACCAACAAACCTACATAAAAGACCTACTAATCATATTGTTGTCAATTTTAGTATCGTTTCTTATATCCTACTTTAATAAATAGTACTATGCAATATTTTTTGTGTGTGGCTAATCTAGTACTATGCAATATTTAGAAGCAATATTCCTAATGTTTTAATTATTTGAAAAATGAACCTTCTATTTAGGTGTATATTAATAACAAAGGATGGTATCAACAGAAATAAAATATAGATTCTCCAAATTTAAGAAAATTTATGGGAAAATATTGATATTGATAAAAAGGAAAAAAAAAAAAAAAACTATAAAAAGTGGGTGGTATAAGAACTTTTAAGCAAGCCTAATTGTATGAAGTATGTGCGGCTGTGCCTTTCATGGGAAGACTAACCAGGACGAAAACGTCCCTATAATCTATTCCCAATTCCAAGGGTGGATTGATCATGCTTATATATTGTCCATCTTGTATTTTGTACATTACAAACATACTCAAACTATTATTTTATTTTTTACCCGAACTATGTCAATTTGTCTTTTGACTTTTAAAATGCCACACTGTCCTTATTATATTTTGTCCGTTAACAAATGATCCCCTTCCATCAAATTTTGTTACTTTTTGGGCTTTTTTTCAGAATTATATTTATATTTTTTCCAGAATTATGTCACTTATTTTATCTTGCCCTTGAGATTTTTTTCCATTAGCAAGTAACCCGATTTTTGTCCAATCCCGTAACACAAATACGAACAATATTTTAAGGGGGAAAAACCCCACAAAATCCCTTAAAAATAGCTTTTCTTCTTTGAAAATTCAGAAGTTTTAGGAATACTTATGCTCTTAGTTAGTTAAGTTTATTAATCGTGTAGTATAAGCTTCTTATTAAGCTTATAACATACGCTTCTATTCTGTATATATATTGGCTTGTACTCTTTTATTCAGATTAATGAGAATAATATTTTTCTCACTAGCCAAACACTTTTTCCTCCGCAATATGGTATCAGAGCGATAATTTTTCTTTTGTCTATTACTTCGATTCTTAGCTCTTAGATTGTTTGTCTAAGTTCGATTTTTCTTCGATTCTTCTTTCCTTGATTAGAGTTTATGGCTTCTTCAATTCCTGATTCGTCTTCCTCGACAAATGGCAAATCCGCCATTGAGGATTCTTCTAGCTCGTATTTCCTCCATCACTCTGATGGTCCCGGTCTTGTACTGGTATCTCAACTTCTCAATGGCGATAATTACACTTCTTGGAGCAGAGCTATGCTAATTGCCCTCTCTGTCAAGAACAAGTTAGGGTTCGTGGATGGTTCGATTGAGAAACCAGATGAATCGGATTTGCTTCTTCTTAATTCATGGATCCGCAATAATAATCTTGTGATTTCATGGATTCTAAACTCAGTTTCTAAGGAGATTTCGGCTAGCATCATTTTCTCTGAATCTGCTGCAGAAATATGGCTTGATCTTAAGGAAAGGTTTTCACAGAGCAATGGTCCTCGTATTTTTCAGTTGCGACATGAATTGATCAATCTTGCTCAGGATCAACAATCGGTTAGTGTATATTTCACAAAACTAAAGACTTTGTGGGAAGAGCTCAGTAATTTTTGCCCCATTTGTTCGTGTGGGAAATGCACTTGTGGAGGTGTCAAGGAACTGTCTACTCATTATCAAATGAAGTATATCATGTCTTTTCTTATGGGGCTCAATGAATCGTTTGCTCAAGTGAGAGGCCAGCTATTGCTCATGGATCCTCTTCTGGCCATAAACAAAGTTTTTTCTTCAATCTCACAAGAAGAACGACAAAGAAAAGTGAGTTCCCAATCTATTTCAGCTGGTGATTCGAATAATTCCATGGCTTTTGTGGCCAAGAATGAACCTGTAGTTTGGGCTAGCAATGGTTCTGGCAATGGCCATAAGTATCAGAAGAAAGATCGTCCTTTTTGCACTCATTGTAACTATCATGGCTATGCAATAGACAAGTGTTATAAAATTCATGGCTATCCCCCAGGTTTTCGGCAGCGGCAGAGGCCACAACAATCAACCACCCCGCCTGGTATGGTGAATCAGCTTTCTACTCAAATGGCCACTAACCGCAATGGTTGCACGAATGAGCGCTTCTATTCTTTTGTTTTCCCATTTATCCAAGATGGATGTGAAAGATATTCACTGTCCATCTTGAGGGGGAGTTTTAGGAATACTTATGCTCTTAGTTAGTTAAGTTTATTAATCTTGTAGCATAAGCTTCTTATCAAGCTTATAACATACGCTTCTATTCTGTATACATATTGGCTTGTACTATTTTATTCAGATTAATGAGAATAATATTTTTCTCACTAGCCAAACACTTTTTCCTCCGCAATAAGAAGCTCTAATCATTATTTGATAGGAAGATTAAGCCGAAAAAAAAAACTAGTATAGGAAGGAATTAAACATGATTCGAAACTATTAACGAGTAGAAATACTGATGGTAATAATCTTTTAGTAAGCAATGAAAACTATCAGTCATGAAGGCTCTCCTTCGCAGGAAACGATGAAATATGTATTATATGTGTGTTTGTGTGTGTGTGTAATGTCCTAGCTAGTACTAGCTAGTAGTACGATGAATGAACATTATGGGCTATCTAGGCAACTATATATGTTTGAATCTGATACGTCAAAAGCTATACTTTTTAGCCAGCCAGATCAAGAGAAATTTACATCTCAAGAATTAAAAAACAAAAAAGAGGGTGGAAAATAGCAATTCAGTACTTGTAAGCTAGAATGTAAGAAAATGGATGTAAGAAATAACCTCTCAGTAAAACTTATGTGTACAGTTTATAACTAATATCTAAAATTTAGTAGTACCAACTCTTGATTTGGAAATGTATACCAAATAACAGTATTGCAAAACTACTACAATGTTAACGATATTATATAATTTGAAAAATTGTGCCTGTATCATGATCATCAGTGTTGGACCGTAGATTAATTTTCTTGAAATACATAATGAAAAGAAGGTGTTGAAACCACACCAAACTTTTTCATACTATATATGGAAGTTGTCAAGTACTACTTGCCACCCAAAAGCCATATCTTGGAATTGGATATACATATTATATATATATATATATAGTTACGGTTCAAGAGAAACCTAACCTTCTTAGCAAGGGTCATTTATACACTCAACAGATGACATTCAAGAAGCTACAAATAGCCCCCCACATGAGCGTAACTACTTGACTGGGATTTTTACCTTTTAAAGGCACAATTTCGGACAAGAGGAAAAAAAAAATCCACTCCCTTCAACGTTTGGATGGCGATAGTTCTCCAAAACATATATGTATTTATAGAGAGAAACTATTATATTAAAGCCCCGCTATTTTGGTATAGTTACTTTTTCAAAAATCTTGTAACAAAAAACAAAAAACAAAAAACAAAAAAAAACAAAAAATAAATAAAGACCAACTTTGGTTTTGAGCGTTACAGTGTAGTCTAAGCCTAGCTAGTATGTAGTAGAGAGGGCTAATAAAACTGGAGGAGAACAGTAAGCATATAAATATGCATATAATACACAAGTAAGGACAAATGAAAGTAAATTAAATTACAGGGATTCCTGTCTTCTGTTGTCACTGACAACTACGTATCTCTGTAACATATGAGAGAGATATGTGAGTAGTCAAATCGGTAATGTGAAGCCCTAATGCTTTTTGTGTGATTGTGTTATTATTGCGATAATAATTTGGTGTTGAATTCCCTCCAAGGATGCGGAGACTGATGTGGATGCTTGATTGTTTGTCATTGACCGTAATTTATAACTCAGCTCTTGCTTGCTAAGCTAGTATTGATATCAGCAAAAGCATTAAAAGTAGAGGTTGCTTCTTTATAAGTATGAAAGTTGTGGTTCTGACGTCTTATTATTAGGGTAGGGTCTGTTTAATTCGCTGATTTAAATTTTTAATTTGAGTTGAGATGTGACTTTATGCGAAAATTTTTTACTGTAGCAAAAAAGTTAGATGTGACTGTTTCTGAGAGCTCTTTACTATAGCAAAACTCGAATCAGTGAAATGAACGGGGCTTAAGAATGAATAACATTGTTGTTGACAAAAAAAAAAAAAAAAAAAAAAAAAAAGCTTATTCTAATTGTTGTCTCGGTCATTCTCTATTTGTCACTCTCATTTTATCTCTTAAAATTTAAATTAGTCTCACTTAATTTCTTTTATTAAAATTTATGTAAAAATCAAATTAAAAAAAGATGAGGTTAAGTGTGATATTTTTTATTTGTTTTTAACAGAAATTCTAATATAAAGCCGACCGTATGATTGCACTAGCTCTTTTTTTAGAGGTTTACTAATTTAAAATTTAAGAGGTAAAGTTAGTTTTTAAAATTCGGAAGGTATCTTAAAATTCAGGGGACATTAATAAGAATAATTTCCAAAAACGTAATGAACATGAATGCAAAGCGTAGTGGCAATAACTAGTTGAATATTATTTGGATTGGAATTCGACATTGACTTCCAAAAATCTTATGAGCCACTTAAATGAAGGGTGTTTCCATTGGTATTGCACCTTAAACTCATTGGTGTTTAGCACCTCAAACTTTAATTGTAACAATAGGACCTGAAATCTAAAAATTAGGCGCAAATGTGGCCCAACAGCTAACACATTAATTAATGGACAAAATATTGTCCCATGGTCTTTGTACAAATTGCACCGAAACTTTATGTTGATTGACAATGTGAACTATAAACTTTTTAATTTTGACATTCGAGATGCTAATATATATTAATTGACGTTGATTATCAATTGGACTGCATTCAATAATTATAAAATTTAGTGCTCTAACTATCAAAATTAAAAGTTTGGGGTTCACATTGTAAAAAATGAAAAACTCAGTTCATATTGGTTCAAAATAATTGCCCTAAATATTAAAATTCGAGAAGTCGTGACAGGAAGGAACTTGAATTCATAAATCAGGTTTTAAATACAAGAAGTGCAGTAGAAGGAATTTGAATTTAGAATTTATTTATGGACAATAGAGTTTTAATTCAAATTGTCAAGTTAGCACACATAATTATTATAATAGTATCACATAACCCTTAAAAAGGTATCATATACTCGAATAGCGTACAAATATGATGAAATAATATATGTTAACAAACATTACTATAATTTTTCCTTTAAAAACATACAATGTCACTATTATAATAGTACCATATAATCCTTCAAGGAAAAAAAAATAGCATAGATATAATCAAATATTGTAATGAAATGCTCTATTTTAACACATGCACATACTAATAGCGTATCCAATATTTTTGTACCATATCCTACTAAAAGAACTATATATTTCTCTCTAAAAGCCAGATAATTGATGACCTAAAGTGAATTTAGGTCACAACAAGAGGCAAAATTTATATATACATATATATATATATATATATATAAAATAAGGTCCCCCCAACCCCAAGATGATGAGTACTATATTGTGCTAGCTGTAGATAAGCGCCCACTCTTGGGTAATTTTGTCTACACCTCTAGCTACAGAGTTAGCAACAAACATCATTATTACACTTTGATAGATGATCAGTTGGGGATCAGCAACGGCAGCATCAGGAAATGGAATTGTAGAAAACCGAGGAAAATGGAAGGCTTTTTTCACGGCCCTCTCTTAAGTGTGAAAACAACAGGTGAATGAGCCAAAGCTAATCACTCCCATGCACACGTCCCTTTCCCTTTTCCCTCTCCTCATATCCCTGTTACTCTCTCTCTCTCTCTCTCTCTCTCTCTCTCTCTCTCTCTCTCTCTCTCTCTCTCTCTCTCTCTCTCTCTCTAAAATCTCCCAAATGCACTCACAAACATATTGTACATCCAATAGTGGAATTCCCACCCCATACATTTTTTCTCTTCTTTTATTATAATAATATGTTAAAGTTAGCTTCAGACCATCCAATACTATGACTTCTCTTCATGATCTCATGATATCATGTGGTACAAAACATCAATAACTCTCGTACGACCCCATGTACATGTGCCTAGTAGGCCATAAAAGAAATCCCAATTTTATCTCCAATCCTTTTTCCATATCTTCCCACGCTATAATATTTATAACTTAATATCACATTATTATTTTCCTCACCCAATTTCCTCCATATAATATTTAATCCCATCTTCCTCACTATAATAACCCTGAGAGAGCTATAGCTCAGCAACCAAGAAGATCACACATATCAGATCCAGAAGAGGTTTTTTTATTTTTTTCATGTGTCCATCATCAAAATCCCACTGATCAGTCAATCCCATCAGTCAAATCAAATCAAACACCCACAAAGAGAGAGAAAGAGAATAAGCGTTAGAGAGAGAGAGAGAGAGAGAGAGAGAAAGACAGTGAAGCGAGAAAAGAGGGGTAGAAAATAGAAGTCAATCAGCAGATCCAAAAAAGAAAGAAATAAGAAAAATGTCCGCCTCGTCCGCTGCCTTTTCACCGGACCACCTTTCTCCCTCCGACCAGCTCTGCTACGTCCATTGCAACTTCTGCGACACTGTCCTCGCGGTGTGCCGTTATATAAAATCATATCTATATCTATATATCTAGACATCATACATATGATCAATATATCCCCATATATAAGATCTTTTTATCATTTACTTTCTCTGCCTTAATGGGGCTTTGGATCTTTCTTTGTTTTTCTTTTTAGGTTAGTGTTCCTTCAGGTAGTTTGTTCAAGACCGTCACGGTTCGATGCGGTCATTGCACGAATCTTCTCTCCGTGAACATGCGAGGCTTGCTTCTTCCTTCTGCGTCTAACCAGCTTCATCAGTACTTCGGACATTCTTTATTCTCTCCGCAACAATATCTTCTGGTATAAGACTATATATAGTGTTAGGGTTTCAGATTTTGCATAGCGTTAATGAACTCTATATATATTCTTTGTTGTTTTAGGGCTTGTTATTATAGATTTGTGGATGTTGATTTGATTGTGAGATCTATCGATTTGCAAACCAGGAGGATATGATGATGCGAAGCCCGCCGGCGTCGAATGCGATGGTGAATCATCAGCCAAACCCTAATCATGATTTGGTCATTCCAAGCCGTAGAAGAGCAGCTGAGCAGGAGATCCCTAAGCCTCCTGTTGTTAATAGACGTGAGAAATATAGATCTTCATCGCCTGATTTTTTTTTCTCTAATTTTTCACATTATTTATTTGAGGGTCTCACTTGGTCAGCTTGATAATTGGTTTTTCAGCGTTTAAAAGGCTATCTTATCTAATGATTTGCCTTTCCTTGGACTTTGGTGGTTAAATTAAATTCTTGTGAAAAAGACTGTGTGGACAGTGGACTGTAGACCTTTCCAATATAGCCCAAGTAGCCTCCTTGCATCTCATAAGAAAAAAGTTTTTTTTTTTTTTTGAAATAAATAAGAAAAAAAAGTTTTAAGAAAGTGGAAACCTATGCTTTGAATTCACTAGCCTTACTTTCTTTTACAGATTTCAAGACTTCTTGGTCAATGTCAAAAGCAAGAATATCTTTTCAGCACATTTACTTAATGCTTAACCTGCTTGAAAATGCCCTTTTCATTCTCCATTTCTCCAAAACAACAACAACCTTCTTATCATCACAAAAAAAAAAAATAATAATAATAAATAAATAAATAGATAAATAAAAAAGATAACGACAACATTCTTCTCTTCTTCTTCTTCTTCTTTTTGGGCTTGAAAAATGACTAGTTTTCTAGTCCACTTTTTTAATCCGCAACCACATTTCCTTTTTTTTTTTGTTTTACATTTCTTTCATAAAACCCACTCCAGATCTGCAACAAAAGTTTCTTTTCAGGTCACAATTCCATTATCATGTTTTAAACCATCAGGTCTTTAAATATATCTCTATAACTACTCAATCTTCACCAGCTTTTTCCTCACACATGACCACGCCGACTATCAAATCATATAAAACTAGTTTGAGCTCATGATTAACTCAATAACTGGTGAAATCTTCATTTAAGAAATCTCCGCATACACTCTAGTATAGAGTTCATGAAAAACTAAAGCTCAAAAAGAAGGTGAAAGATGACATATTTGATTTATGTTATAAAAAACTTTCACACATCATGTAGTTCATACGTTTTCATCACTATTAAGGAATTCTGCCTAACTTTTTTTTTTTTTTTTGGTTTTACTTTAGCTTGTGATCAGAGGATCTCCTTCGAAAATATATGTACTGTTTTGAATCCGTAATTGCCAGGATACTTTTTGCTAAAGATGAGAGAGAGAGAGAGAGAGATCAGAATCAGAAAAAGTAGTAAAAAAGAGAAAGAAGAAAAATGGTCAGCGAAGTGAGTTTAATGTGTGTGTTCGTTTTCTTTGTGAAACATGTCTTTCTACGTGATCATGATCAGCTCCGGAGAAGAGACAGAGAGTACCATCTGCTTACAATCGCTTCATCAAGTAAGTAATCACAAGTGTATATGATAAGTACATTAACCCTGCTTATTCATCATCAAATTAAAAAGAAAATCGATCGAGAGAACTAGTTCAATTAACAACGTATTTATACACAGACACACACAGATATATATATATATATATATATATATGCATAGCATAGTATACATTGATTATTAAAACTCACTAGCAACGTATTATTGTGTGATATATATAATCTTCTTTCGTTGAAATAGGAAACGGCGGGATTAATTTCTATACTAGACATAATATATATATATATATATATGTATGTATGTATAGTGTGTGTGACCTTCAGAAAATAAATGTGCAGGGACGAGATCCAACGTATCAAAGCTGGAAATCCTGATATAAGCCACAGAGAGGCCTTTAGTGCTGCTGCAAAGAATGTGAGAACTGATTAGGGTTATATTTCTTACTCTATAGTTTAGCTAGGGTTTCATTTCTTTATGCCATTTCTCCATGAATCCATATAGTTATTCTATATACCCTGTCAATATATATATATATATAGAGAGAGAGAGAGAGAGAGTTTTCATTAGTGTTGGTTTATATATACACACTATGATTCAATTAACTACATAAATATATATAGCTTTGCTTTTGATTGATGGGTGTGATTTCTCCATTGTGAATTCTAAAAATTTATATGTGATCTTTTCCCTTTCAGTGGGCCCATTTTCCTCACATCCACCTCGGACTAATGCCTGATCAACCCGTGAAGAAAGCTAATCTACGCCAACCGGTACTTGAAATTAAGCTTAATATTTAATTAACTGATAAGCATTCAAAATCACGAATATATATGTGCGCGCGCGCGTAGGAATTACTTTTACAATATTGAAATATACTTTTTGATCTGTGTAAAAACCGTTGGGTTTTTTTGCAGGAAGCAGACAACATGCTTATGAAAGATGGATTTTTCAGCACTACTCCTGCTGCCAATGTGGGCGTCTCTCCCTACTAATAGCTAAAGGGTTAGGGGCTTCCTTAGTTTCTATTATATATATATATATATATATATATATATATATTATTTTACTGCTACTTTATATGATCATATGAGAAGTACTACCGGTTAGCTAGCAAGCTTTCTTCGTTATGAGACTACGTACTTAATTTACAACTTTATCAGTTTCCTGTTTTATGTTTATTAATATATATGAACCGTTTAATGCAATGTTGACTATTTTGAAGTTTGTATACATAGACGGTTGGTGAAGCTTAAGAATCAAACTAACACATATATATATCATGACAAAAATGTGATATATCACTACATAGTATATAGGAAGAGATCTCAGACGTCAAAGAGAGATCTCGTTTAATTTTATCAATTCCTCAGTCGTCGCCTTCACAAAATGCTTAACATATATATTTCTGTAACTTGGAATAATCTATGTTTTTCCCTGGCATGCAACTGCTACTTAAGTGTGTAAAGTAGCGAAAATTTTAATGAAGTATAAACATCAATGTTAGATCAGTTGTTCCAAGTAATACTGCATTGGGGAAGTCGTACAATATATATTTTCTTATAAGTAGATGTTACGAGATATTGTGTCATTGTATATAAAAATTACTTTAGCTATTTAAAAATGGCGCCCTAACAAATATTATCAATGAACTACTTTATGGTCACCACATTCATATAATATATTAATGCATTCTGATAATATTATAAGGCTTGCTCCTGGTGGTTTATGTACGTATAATGCATGCTTTTTTTTCTTTTTGTTTTTTTTTTTTTTTGCTCTGGAAAGTATAATGCATGCTTTACTTTGTATACGCATTCACTAATAGCCTTGGTTCTCTAGCCTTAAGGTGACAACAATAAGAAAAAGAAATTCGAGGTCCACTAATTTTCTTCTTTCATGTAAATTTTTTCTATTCTAGAGTATTTCTTGATACCTTATATTCGGAAAACTTAACTTTTGTAAAATTTGGCCCTAATGTTTTAGTACCTCTTAGTTAATTACCTTTTTTCTTTTACTTTACTCCCAAGCTTTCTATGGTGAGTGCTCGGCCTTTAACCATTATAAAATGAGCTTTTCCTATTATTCTGTACGTGCATCAATATTCATGTGTGTGTGTATATATATATATATATAATATCTTGTGAATAATGCTGGAGATTCCAAATTTTAATAATTTTTATCAACTTTTTAATATTAACTCAGACGGTGGTGTTGCCATCTATAAGTACAATATAATCCTTTAGTATTAATTGACATGTCAATTTTTTAATCACTTATCATCAGTAAAAGAATGACAACTCACATATCATGTGGGTTTGTTTCATAAAAAAAATGGATCCTTAACATTATTTATTTCTTAGCATTCTAAAATGCTTTAGTTATACTTGTATCACAAACAGCATCGTTACTTAATCTTCAAGTTCTTAAATGCCCCGTATTAAGATGATGAAATATATTCCGAGGTTTGAGTGCAATTGTTGAGAAAGGCCGAGAAACTATAAATTATATATATTGATTTTTTAAAGTAAAAGTAAAAGTATAAACGGTTAAAGCAGCAAAGCCGAGACTATATTCTAATCGTGCCGATAAAACCGATTCAGAATAAATTGGTTCGATATGAACTTTATAAAAATTGAGCATCTATTGACTAATTAGTTGTTGTATATGTTACATAAGTATTCAATCTAAATTGAGGCGTGGTGTGTGTGTGTGTGTGTGTAATGTTTTTGTACTTTTTAGACTTTTAGGCAGATCAAAACTATTTAAAATTATTTTCATTGTGATCTTTACTAAGTAATTATGAATTTATTGTTGGACTCGTTTTATTAATAGTCTTGCAGGGAACAGTTTTGATAACAATATAATGCTGTTGACATATATATATATATATATATATATATATATTCTTATCATCTGATGACTTTATTGTTTGTATGATATCATATTTTGAGTATCTCTTTTTTTTTTTATTAACAAAAACAGTCTTTCATTTAACTCAAATGCACATATTGCAATTATAGATATTCGAGCAATTCCAAGATTGGTGTAACAAAAAGTTTATTATAATGATTAAAGTTATTTAAACTATATTGATTCGATAGAAAAACACGAAGGATTTTTTATATGCGCTCTTTTCGATTAGTGCGCATATAACTCCTTAAGGGAGAGTTTCAAGCTTTTAGTAAGATTCTTTTTTTTTTTTTACTCTTCAAAATTGCCTCGCCTCTAGTGTACATTTTTTTCTTATTGACACAATAATGAATTTGTTGTCGATTTTGATTTTTGCCTCGCCTTATATCTTCCAAATCTAACTCTTAGTAGAAGCTAATCTGACAAGAGATGCACAAAAGTACATAAAAACAGTAAACCAAAATTTTAAAACAACAACGAGATAAAGATTCCTATATACCAAAGTTATCGAAACTATAAAATGAGATCATAGTGGATAAATACGTATTCTATACACAAACAAAATAGATGAAACGTTTGATTCATAGATTCAGAACCATATTCAAAATTATTATCGGTTTACGTGTGTTTTTTATGAGAGAAAATACTGTAGCGAATCACAAACCATGATTTAAATCATAGTACGAATCTATCAACCAAACGCAAAATTACTAGAGTTTGAGATGAAGATGAGAAGAGGAGGAGAGAAAAAGAGAACTCTAGGGCCAACGTCTCGACAACATATTATTATCATATTTTGAGTATTTTTCTCGGTTCTTTTACATTTTTTTCTACTATAATTATATTTTGTGCAAATTAGGCTGGCTGTTACTTTTGTATTCTAGTCATTCATCCGCACCGCTTTTACCAGTAAAGTTAAGCTCAGATTTTGTGCAAAAGAATTAAAGTGATATATTCGAATACCAATACTCCATGGTGGTCTTCTCCATTCTTCTAATTGGGCCTGTTATTTTAAGCGCTCGGCCGTCTCATGGATTGTGGAAAAACTGAGCTCCATTGCAAAGGAGACCCACTTGATTGGGCTCACATCTAGCGGGCCAGGCCCAGGTCATGGATACCCCAGAAATGCATGAAATATTCAAAGATAGTTTCAACCTACATGTAGTTGCGTACATTAGCATACATACATGCATGCACACACGTATATACATATATATATATAGAGAGAGAGAGAGAGAGAGAGAGAGAGAGAGCTCTAAAAAGGGAAAAAAAAAAAAAAGTTACAAAGAGACACACAATGTATAATTACTAATGATTTACACTTTCTCAATTCATCTCAAAACATGCCACTTGGCCCCACCTCTTTCAAGGAAATTATGAAAACATGTTAGAGACCACCGCAAAACCACAGTTATTAGTTATAATTACGAACTTAACACTTGACAAAAACCTGTTAGGCTTTCAGTCTCTTTTTATTCCACAATTTACTTTGGAAATGCACAGAAGAGATATTTAAGATTGTCCACCAACAACCAACCAAGTCACTAAAATCCCAGCTGGGTTTGCGAGTAAGCTACTTAAAAAATGACCCAATACCATCAGGCAACAAGGGTTCCAAGGTATTTTGGAGTTTCAAAAGCTAAATGAGTACAGAAAGAAAAGCAAAACGTCCTTCTACACTAAGAGTAAGGATCCATGTCATGTTTCAGATCATAGTTCGTAACTCACTACAGTATTTTTTCTCACAAAAAATAGACGTAAATTGAAAATAATTCTGATCATAGTTTTAAATTTATAAACTAAACGTCATGATGTATGTTTCTGAACATCAGATGATATCATTGTGAAGAAAACATGCAAACACGACAGAATTTGATGATCCAAAGTATCGGGTCTTTTTTTTTTGGGTACCCTTCCCTGCCCGAAGATTCTCGAAGTTTTATTTAGATAGAATCTCTCTCTAGAGACGTCCATACACTAAAAGCTTTGAAATTTCACTTGGGCTCCCCAAATATTCCAGTGTGAAGCCTAATGTCTAAATAAGAAGCCTTTAAAAAGAAGGATTAGCACGTCCTTTGACGATTATGGGGCCGACATAATGTCTAAATTAAATCTTTAAAGTGGTTGAATAAGCTGCAATAGAATTAACTTTATATTTTATTTTTGTTCCTGATTTAGAAGTTGCACAAACAAATTTCTTACCAAAGTGGTCTCTGAAGAGCAGACAAAAGCCGAGAGATGGGATGCCATTACCATTTTATAAACTATAAATAGTAAACGACAAAACGAAGATACTATTAAGTGAGGATACAGAATATTATTGCAAAGGAAAAAAATAAATAAAATAAAATCCATACAAGTCTAGTAAACAAAACTTTCTGAGCCATTATCACAATGTACAACCACCAATGAACACAGGCAGACTTCACAGAGAATCAAATTCTGTAGTCCATTTTTGACGCACACACTATCTTATTTTAGAGTGCTTTTCGAGGGATCTGACACTTGAGAGTGCAGGGATGGCTTTCTTTCCGGTTCTCGTATGCTCATGCATGAGAGAGAGAGAGAGAGAGAGAGAGAGAGAGAGAGAGAGAGTTGAAATGTTGAATATCAAGAATGATACCCCAGATTCTCTAAGACAGCTCTTATGATAAGTTAAATCCATTGGCACAATTATGCAGGAAATGGTAATGGTCAGTTTGCACAGAAATTAATAGACTATGGAAAAAATAAATAAATAACGAACAATACACAAAAGATAAATTATACACATAGCAAAGGAAGAAGTTCTGATTCACTTGGACAACACAAGATATGCAAAATCTAAAGGCTAAATCCACCTAATCGAACTGATATAGTTGCAGGCATAGTTTAGCAGTAAACCACAGCCGACACCATCACAAGATCACCACAAATTCAACTTGAATAAATAATAATTATAATAATAATAATAATAATAATAATAATAATAATAATAAAACGGCAGTCTGTCATAAGGTACATCTAATCCAAGCAATAGCAGACTAATGCATAAAAAAAAAAAAAGAGTTATCTTTTAACACTGAAGACGGAAATACAACATTCTTCCTTCACCCATATGATTCAAGAAAACATGACCAACTAAAATATCACTCATAACTCATCATAGTTAAACAACAACATGAGAGAGTCAAAAACACTATTGTCATCTGTTAAAACACTAATTAGCATACACTATTTTGGGGGCGTATTTGTGTTAGATAAACCCAAAAGAGAAGAGTTCTATACAGTTAACTCTACACAAGATTTAGCAGGAAAAAAGGCCATATGAAACAAAAAAGCCAAATTCACAAACCAGAAACCATAAGACATCTATACGTATTATATAACAAGGAAAGCAGGCCCCGAATCTAAAGGGCATATATCAGATACTTCCATTCTTGAGATTGCTAATCGATGCATTCTTTTTCACTTAAATCCGCCGACTTTAATCTCCTCGGAGAGCTTAGCTTATAACACCATTCCCACTGTATTAAAAACACAAATTTACTACTGCTCTGTGCATTTCAGTCCCGTTAAGTAAACCTGAGACTGAATAACTGTTCTTCCGAATTAAAACCTGGTACTACCGTGAAGCCAACCTTTACCCTCGATTTACATGGCAACAACAATCTCTTGGTGACATCTTCCATGTACACCATCGAAAAATCCACGCCCCTTTCCACTCGAAAGATCTCAACAACGGGATCGAACGAAAAGGCCAGCTTGTGCAGTGTCCAAACTGAGCTCGCCATGTTTACATACGCCTCGTAGAACACACTCAATGACCGCCACGAATTCAAGACCACTTCTTTTCTATCCATATTACTGAAAATCGAGGACTCCATTGTTGGATGGATAATCTCTTGATACTTGCTCTCACAAAACCTCGAGAAATCGCAGCTCCAGTCCCTACTCAACACCTCCATAGGATTGCTCGATGCATGTTCGAGCAATTGCCTCAATGAAAAACTTCTCTTATCGGAATCCGAAGCATGCCCATTACACAAACTTCCATCCTCAACCAATCCAAAGAATTTTGAATCAAAGTTTCTAAACATTCCCAGGCAAACATATGACAAAAACGCAAATCTAGTATGTCCTTTCTTGGCATACCCAACATCGGGATGAACCAAATTAGCAGCTAAATCCAAATCCCACCCAACTCCTCTCATCAACTCAATCAAAATCTTAGTAAACTTACGCGTTAATCTACAAGCATCATGCAAAACAGAATCAAACACTTTAACAGAGAGCAAAACCTCGCAAGACGAGTTCAAATCACCCGATAATCGTTTCGAAAACTTGGAAGTCTGCCTCTGAATCTCCTCCAACTTCTTCTTCAGCGCCGCAACTTCGTTGTCCTTCTGATCCATCTCTTGTTGAAGCCGGTCCGAGAAAGTCCCGAGCGTGCGAAGCTTGCTCTGATTCTCCTCCACTTGAGCCTCCAAACACGACCCAATTGGCAAATCCTTGTCGGAATTATCGGAATTTCTGCAGTTTTCCAAGTAAAATCTCTTGAATTCGGAGAGTCTCTGGAGGTGAGAAACCAGAGCTCGATCGGCGGATTTTATGTTTTCTTCAACAAACGGGACATGGGCAGTTTGTAACTGGAGGTACGAGGCTTCGAAAGAGGAAACCGTGGCAAAAATGGAGGAAAACAGGGTCTGGGTAAGGTGGGTATTTATGGGTTTCGCGAATTCGTCGTTTTTCTTCTTCTGTGTATCGATGAAATTGGGTTTTGTGGGTGTAATTAACGGTTTTTGTGGGGAAGAGAAATTGGTGTAAGTGGAGTCCGGTTTGATGACGACGACTTTCTGGTCGGTGATGACTTCCTCGGCGGAGTCGAGGAGGGAGAATCCGTCGGCGTCGGCGGATTCTTCTTCGTCGGCGAAGAATTCGAAGGTCTTGGCTTTGAATGCGAGAGCGAATTTCTGAAACATCTCGGAGATTTGTGGGGGTCTTGACGAACCGTCCATTTCTGGCATTTTCTCTTCTCTTCTTCTTCTTCCTTTTTCTAAGAAGACGAAGAAATTAAAGAATAAAAAGAAGTAAAAATGAAGAATTATCTTTTCTCAGTAACACTTCTTCTTCTTCTTCTTCTCCTTCTTCTCTTTGTTACAGTTTGTGGAAGTGCTTTGGATGTCTTCGAAGGAAGGTATGTGGGATTCGTCTTTTTTCCTCTCCTTTTGTTTTATTTTATTTATTTTGTGATTGGTTTAATTAATTTGATTAATGACTAATCACTAATTTAATTCTCGTTAGTCTTTTTTTAATTATTATTTTTCCAGTTTTCAACCAAGTTCTCCTTGTTATGCTGACTTTGAGAGTTTTGGCAACGGTAATAAAGGAAAAGACTAGGGTGACGGGATGAGCGGTCAATTTTCCGTGACAGGCTTGTTGTGGTAGGTAAAATGCTCACTTGAAAAGCTTGAACATTTTCATGAGATTGTTGAGAGTCAAGTATATCTTGTTTGATTTTTTTTTTTTAATATACACCAACATGTCACAAGAAGTAGTCCAAATTTTTAAGTGTTTTTTTTTTTTTTTGCTGAATAATTTTTAAGTGCTTATATCACGATAAGATTATATCCACATACAAATGTGAAATAATTAGAACACAAATGTGAAATATTTATAGCACGATAATATAAGTCAATGCATTTCAATAAACATGTATTAACAGGTTTGACACAAAAAAATTGATCAATTATGACCCATTTAACACAATTAATGTTTTTTTTTTTTTTTTAAAAAGAGATCATGTTGGTACCATATCATGTCGCTATACAATTGGTACAGTTAACTTATATATATTACGGCGGTTAATTTTTAAATTACTTGATTCGACTAGAAACCACATTGTTTTTCATCTTATATGTTTTGACTTGAAATTTATATGAAAAAATATACGGATCACCTCATCAATTTATGTCAATGTTTTTGACCGGCGCCATAAATTGCCGCCCTAGACACATGTTTCTTCTTTTTTTTGTCTATTTCCTTTTTGCTTGAAATGATGGAGAGTTTCTTGGATAGCTCTTAGCTGTTATTTGTTCACCCTTCAACATCAAGCATATGAACGTGTAACTGTTTTTTGAAGTATTGAATATGCCATTAAAAATGTTTTAGCGTTCTGCTAACTACTCTTATATTCATGTCAATGTTTATTTGAAGAAATAATATTGCTAACACAGCTAATGGTGGTCGCCGGTGATAATGTCTGCGACCATCATTAGCTATACTGGACTCGTTTAGTTCGTTAATTCGAGTTAGATGTGACTGTTTTTTAGAGTTTTTTACCGTAACAAAACTCGAATTCTAAACTCAAATCAGTGAAATGAGCGGGGTCTAAATTCATCCACTTCAATTTTTTTTTTTTTTTAAAAAAAACTATAATGAAGAGAGGAGGTTTAAAAAAGAAATTGAACAAATTTGATAGAGTACAAATTGTGCTGCTTATTTAATATATAATATAACGTCTAAAAATACTAAAAGAAGGGAACGTATCTTTTATCTTGTGCATTCACTTGGCTCGAGAAAAGCAATGCCTTTTTCAACTTGTTTATTAATAACTTGTTAGGCCATGAATTATCATATTGGTAACTATGGTACGAAAATAATAAAGATTTTGCTGTCTTTAGCATAAGACATAAATCTTTGGCGTAAAATGTTTTACTGGTTCTTTCGTCGTTTTCTGTTAGAAAACCACATCTTCTGAGGAAACAAATCTTCCATGCATTCTGGCATCTTTTTGTCACTGTGATGGTATATTTGTACAGGATCAATAATTTCCCACATTAATCAACTACATGCTTCAAAGTGGCTTTATTTACTTATCAAAGCTCATAGTTCTCTCCATTCTGTGAATGTGGACCTACTCACAAAATGCAATCATTATAGCTTTATATGTACCTTTAAAGTGTGTGTAATACTTTAGGCAGACAATTTCCAAGTGGGAGCTGGAGTAACAGCATGAATTGAGAAAAATATAATTACAAGTTTTGATTATAATTATATTCATCATTTCTAAGTCTTGGTTTAGCAAGTAAATCATTTACTGCAAAAATAAGCCTGGGGCATTTGTTATAGCTATATTGGGATTGTCGTGAATCATGATGATATTTAGACCAAACTTGTTTGATTCATGAATTAGAACCATAAGATTAGAACCATTTTTAATTTACGTGTGTTTTTTGTGAAAGAAAATACTGTAGCGAGTTATGAACCATGATTCGAATCAGAAAACGAATCTTCCAACCAAACGGGCTCTAAATTTGGTATAGAAAATTTCTTTCTTTCTTTTTCTTTTTTTTTTTTTTAAAGAAGTTAGAAGTTGTAAATTTTATAAGTTTTTAATAGTGTGAAAAAATGAGACTTGAATTAATGAATTCTTCCTGCCCCAGCAAAAGTACAATCCAAGAGACCCTTTACCGTTGAGTATTTGAGTTGACTCAAAGAGAAAAAGGCCGAAAGGGGGATTGTTGTTTGGTGAAAAATAGGGCCGTGATTAGGAAACGTGGTTAACCAAATTGATTAGATATTGACTATTAAAAGGTTGGTTAGCAGTTGTTACATGAGATCAAATTGAGAACAATTAGAAATGTTTCAATTAATAAAGAAATAATAAAGCAAATCATTCATTGCAACTTTGCAAGACGTTCCAAATATAGCACAGTATCTTCCACCTTGTTATAACTATGAATTATACAGTCTAATATGAAAAAAAAAAAAAAAAAAAAAAGAATTAACAGTGTTGTTTTATTTTCAACCGTTATATATGTATTAAGTAATGTCAATTTTACAAACACATCCGTATAAAATAAACACTAGCTTTACAGCGATAACTTATTAATATTGCTTGCTTAGGAAATAAAGATATACAACTATTTGTTCTTATTTACTTTCTTTTTTTTTTTTTTGGTTCTTCAATCACACTACACAAGCAAGCACATATATGCAATATGTATGTGTGCGGTGAAATTGACAGCATATGGGATCACAAACCAATAAGAGAGACAATTATTCCATTTGCACAAAAGTTTCTTAGTTTAAGATTATTTTCTTTTTCTGTGGGTATTTTGCAATGTGACCACCAATTCTAGTGGATAAATCAATGAGAGAAATATAGAACACACAATTTCTTATAACGTGTCTCTATCACCTGGTTAGAAGAAGTAAATAACATGGTTGACGTGGACGTTTGGTTGATGGATTTAAAATTATTCTAAATTTATGTGTATTTTTTATGAAAAAAATATTATAACGAATCACGAAACATAATTCGAATCATGACATGAATCTAACAATCAAATAACTTAGTCCATTCAAATGTTGCAGACGACAGAGATTTTGTCGAGCCTATCTCGGCAATCATGGTGTCCCTCTAGTTGTTCGCTTTGTGGATTAGTAGTCTTTGACGTATTATTAAAATATTAAAATGCTGCAAAGGAATAATCTTGCTTTCGGCACATGATTAAAAAAAAAATACAAAATAAAGTCCTCAAGAATATGTTTGGCAAAACAACATTTTGACAAACTAAATCATGGATTTTCATTTACCAAATTGTCGCCTAATACAAAACTTAATTGTTTTGGTTTGCTTTTTTATTTTATTTTCCTTTTTGCAAATCTCCGTCTAGGATTTGTTGTTAATCACCTAAAAAATTAGACCCTCAAGTTACTGTATGAGTGTGTTTAGTTACAGTGATAGAATTGTAATAATAGTAATGAGAATAGAATGAAAAAGAATACATTGAAAACAAATATTAATTTTTTTGTTTGGCTGAAATGAAAAACAATAAAATGATATTGATTGTGTTTTAACAAAAATACCCTTAATAAAACAAAGTCAAATTACATATTCAACTAGCATGAATGTTCTTTAAACTTTAGGCTAAGTTTTTTCTTCAATTTTTTTCTTGAGATGTTCTCAGCTTTAATCAATATCAAGATGCAACTTTCTTAAATGTATAAACTACCATTAACAACTCCCTTTTTTTTTTTTTTGCCGAAGAACAACTGCACATATGAAAAATTACTATCCAAAGTTTACCCATATATGAAAAAAATCATTATCTATAGACAATACCGAAAAACCCAAATCTGACAGAGAAAATCACTATTCAAAGTTGACCAAAATATGAAAAATCATGATCTGAGAACAATTATGAGCAACCCCAAATCTAAAAAAGAGACTATTATCAAAGAGCGGCTTCAAATCTATAACTAGAGCTTTATGCAAAAAACAAAAAAAGAGAGACAATTTTGAAGAACAAACCCATATATGAAGAAACCAAATTCTGAACAAACCAAATAAAAAATAAAAAAAGAAACCCATCAATATTTGTGCACAAACTAATAAACCCAAGCAACCATAGAAGAAATTAGCTTCAATATCAAGGCAAGTTTATCACCTGAGTACAACCCCATCTAGCATGTTTGGAACCAATTTTATTTCTGTTTTTCACGTTTTTCAAGATAAAAAAATGAGATTGAGGGAAAAAATATGTTTGGAGGAAAAAATGGAAGAAAATTGAAAACAATTTCATTTTTTAATTTAGTGTAAAATCACTTAGAAAATGAAAATGATTTGAAGTTGTTTTTCATTTTTTGTTTCCATTTCTTTGGGCAGATGCCTTTTTTTTTGACAGGTGGGTGAAAATTATATAACTAAATGAAATTTTAGTTTTTTCTTAAACTAAAAACAATCTCTTAATAAAACTACCAATGCATTTTCAGAAACGATTTCTGCTTGAGATTAAAAACGTTTTCATTTCCAGTTCATACAAAAAATTAAATTATAAAAAAACTAATTCTAAACGTACTCATCAAGTTTTACTTTTGAAATTTTCTTCTCCTATGAGGAAGAAGAATGAAAGACTAAAAAAGACAATGGACGGAGCCACGCTCAGCTGGTGAAGCTTCATTGTCAACAGCAGAACGTCGAAGTAAGTGGTGGAGCACTGACGAAATGATGTTCGACAACACTGTACAGAGGCGCTGAGCGCGAGCTCCGATGATGTACGGTGGCGCTAGGTGTGAGC